TGCTGCAGCAGTTATTTGGTTGATGTGTGCCTCCGGTGACGTGCTCGATGTTATGGTCACCCCAAGATCTTTCTCCCTGACTAAGGTCTGTAGTCTTTGTCCACCTAGCCTATACTCTGTCTGCGGTCTTCTTTGCCCCTCCCCAATCTTCATGACTTTGCATTTGGCAGGATTGAATTCGAGAAGCCAGTTTCTGGATCACGTGTCCAGCCTGTCCAGGTCTCTTTGCAGTCCTGCCTCATCCTCGTCCGATTTAATTCTTCTCATCAGCTTCACATCATCTGCGAATAAGGACACTTCAGAGTCCTTCCATCATGTCGTTCGCATATATCAAAAATAGCACTGGTCCTAGAACTGACCCCTGTGAGACCCCGCTCGTCACAGGCGCCCACTGTGATACCTCTTCACGTACCATGACTCGTTGTTGCCTCCCTGTCAGGTATTCCCTGATCCATTGCGGTGCCCTCCCTGTTATATGCGCCTGATCCTCCAGCTTCTGCACTAATCTCTTGTGAGGAACTGTGTCAAAGGCATCAGTTCAGAATGACATGGAGTGTGTATAAATCTGTAGGGAAAGGAAGGCAGGGTAGGGGTTGCCTTCGAAAAGGTTGGAAGGAGTGGGTAAAGGAGGTTTTCTGGGTGAGGGGCTTGGACTTTCAGCAAGCGTGCGTGAGCATATTAGATAGGAGTGAATGGAGACGAATGGTATTTGGGACCTGACGAGCTGTTGGAGTGTGAGCAGGGTAATATTTAGTGAAGGGATTCAGGGAAACCGGTTATTTTTATATAGCCAGACTTGAGTACTGGAAACAGGAAGTACAATGCCTGCACTTTAGAGGAGGGGTTTGGGATATTGGCAGTTTGGAAAGATATGTTATACAGTGGTCCCCCGCTTTTCATAGTTCCCGGCAATCGTAAATTTCGCCAATCATAGGGGTATTTTCGTATAAACATGGATTCGCTTTTCATAGGTTGACTCGCGAGTCGTAGTTCGTCCGGGACGCGTACCCACGGCATGAGCCGGGGCGGCAGCCAGTCTGGCATTGTTTACCAGTGAGCGAAGGTCCCCTCACATGCTCCAGCGAAATATTTCATAATATTCCATTTATTTTAGAGCTTGCAAGTACTAAATAAAGCCACCATGGCTCCAAAGAAAGCTCCTAGTGCCAAGTCTGTGGTAAAAAAGGTGAGAAATACGACTGAATTTAAGAAAATCATCACTGAACAATATGAAAGTGGTACAATTGTGGCCGAACTGTCCAGGATGTAAAAGAAACCCTACACAACCTTATTTCCATAGGGGCCAAAGAAAAAGGAAATAAAGGACGTGTGTTCAAGGTAGAAAATAGCTGACAAAAATGAGATCACCAAAATTGGGAAGAGGTTGATTAGTTATTATTGGTTGGATAAATGAGAAACAATCAGAAATACTCTTTGACTTTGATTATTTGTAAAAAGGCTAGGGCTCAAAGTTTTGGGGAAAGAAATTGCCCAAATAGGGTGATGGAGTGTTTTTAAGGCCAGCAAAGGGGGGTTTGAATTTAAGAACCTACGGCAACACAGGTGTAACAGGGTGAGGCTGAATTCGGACCAAAAAGGCGGCTAAAAAAATATTGCATAAATTTTCAAGGAGTAATAGAGGCTGAAGGACTGAAACCTGAAAAGTGTTCAATTGTGACGAAACGGGCCTTTTGGGAAAATCCCAAAGGGGATCTTCATACCAAGAGGAAACGGCAAGCCAGGCCCAAAAGCCTATGAAAGCAGGCGATGCTAATGTTTGCGCTAATGCTAGGGGGATTTAAAAAGTGAAGCCTTTACAGTGTACCATTCTAAAAAACCAAAGTGTGTCAAAAAAAATGTTATGAAGAAAAAATGTGTGTTTTTTTGGGAAATCAAATGTAAGGCATGGGTCACGGGGGAAATTTTTTTGTCGATGGTTCAATGAATTTTTGCCCTAGTGTAAGGAGTATCCCCCTGGAAAAAAATTGGACTCAAGTGCCTCTAGTAAGGGACAAGCACCTGCTCACCCTCCAATTGATGACCTAATTTTCGAGGTTTTTGGGGGTTCATCACAGTAAAGTTCTTGCCCCCGAATCCCATCCTCTCCCCCAAACCCCATGGACAGCAGGTTATTTCAAACTTTTAAAAAAATCTACACAAAAACAATGTTTCACAGGGGCTTGACTGTGACCACCGACACTCATTGACCCTAAGGGAATTTTGAGAGAACACTTCAGCATCCCCTTCATAAACCCTAAGGGATGGGTTGGGGGGAGTGACACCCGGACTTGAAATCTGCCCCCGGAAAAAATTGTGGCCAGATTGTGTCGACAAAGGGTTTTTTTAAGGATTTGGGGGTGACCCTAAAAAGCCCATGTCTGTTGTAAAATCAAATTTTGGGACGGGAGTTCCATGGGGTTGGATGGGGGTTTGGAGGGTTGGAAAAAGGGGGGAAGACCCCAATGAAGGTCACCCCTGAGGACTGCAAAAGCTTACAGGAAGAGCAAGCATCGAAAATCAGAATCTTGCTCGGGAAAGGGGAAAAAGAATGGAAGAAGGTGCCTTCTTTAAAAATTAAGATTTTTTACTTGTGGGGTAGGGGGAAACTTTTTGGAGAAAAAACACCCAAAAAAGGTTGTTGCAACCAGGTTGCAAAAATGTACAGTGACAAAGTCTTGGGCCATTTTAGGGAAGTGTTAAAGAGACGCCAGAAACAGAGCTCTCTCCACAGTTATTTTGCGAGACAGGACTCCAGTGACTCTCAAGGTGGTCCTAGTGGCATTAAGAAACAGAGAAGAGAAGCAACCCCAGAAAAGCAAATGGTACCTGAGGTGGTGATGGAAGGGGATTCCCCTTCCAAACTATAAACAATCCACTCTCTCCTCCTCCTCCAGTCTCCCATACACTAAGAAGAATCTCCAATAAAGGTAAGTGTTATGCTGTTAATGTTTCATTCATCATTTCCCATTGTATTGTTTATGTACTACATGTATATTTCATGTAAAAAAATTTTTTGTTTTAATACTTCTGGGTGTCAGGAACGGATTAATTGTATTTACATTATTTCTTATGGGGAAAATTGATTCGTAAATCGTAAATTTTGTTTATAGTAATGGCACCAGGAATGGATTAATTACGAAAAACAAGGGACCACTGTATATCTTTATATATGCTTGTAAACTGTTGTACAGTGGACCCCCGCATAACGATTACCTCCGAATGTGACCAATTATGTAAGTGTATTTATGTAAGTGCGTTTGTACGTGTATGTTTGGGGGTCTGAAATGGACTAATCTACTTCACAATATTTCTTATGGGAACAAATTCGGTCAGTACTGGCACCTGAACAGACTTCTGGAGTGAAAAAATATCGTTAACCGGGGGTCCACTGTACAGTGGACCCACGCATAACGATTACCTCCGAATGCGACCAATTATGTACAGTAAGTGTATTTATGTAAGTGCGTTTGTACGTGTATGTTTGGGGGTCTGAAATGGACTAATCTACTTCACAATATTTCTTATGGGAACAAATTCGGTCAGTACTGGCACCTGAACATACTTCTGGAGTGAAAAAATATCGTTAACCAGGGGTCCACTGTATTTGGGTGCCTCTGCAAAAACAGTGATTATGTATGAGTGAGGTGAAGGTGTTGAATGATGATGAAAGTACAGTATTTTCTTTTTGGGGATTTTCTTTCTTTTTGGGTCACTGCCTCGGTGGGAGACAACCAACTTGTTTAAGACAAAAAAAAAATTTGTGCATCAAAACATTCGCAAACGCTACAGTACAGTATCATTATATTTCCCTACATCATATCTCCACACCAAAAATTAGTGAATTTTCAAGATTCGTGAGGTTCTTGATCCCCTAACCCTCACGAATGTGGAGGGCCTCCTGTAATAGTACTGTGGAAATTGGGAGGTGGTGTGGAGTTAGTAAATGTATTAGTCAGATGGCTGAAAAGGGGTTGTTGAGGTAGGTAGTTTGGTTATTTAGAGGGGATGGAACAAAGTAGAATGACTTGGAGAGCATGTAAATCTGAAGGGAAAGGAAAGGTGAGGTAGGGGTTGTCCTAGGAAAGCTTGGAGGGATGGGGTAAAGGAGGTTTTGTGAGCGAGGGGCTTGGACTTCCGGCAAGCGTGCGTGAGCGTGTTAGATAGGAGTGAATGGAGACGAATGGTCTTTGGGACCTGATGAGCTTATGGAGTGTGAGCAAAGTAATATTTTGTGAAGGGATTCGGGAAAACTGGTTAGCCGGCCTTGAGTCTTGGAGGTGGGAAGTACAATGCCTACACTTTAAAGGAGGGGTTTGGGATACTGGCTGTTTGGAGTGATGTCTAATCTGTTGTACCCGAGGGCCTCTAAAAAAGACAGCGATTATGTATGAATGATAGTGAAGGTGCTGAATAATGATGAAAGTTTTTTTTTTTTTTTTTTTTTTGGGGGGGGGGGGGGGTCTTTTTGGGTCATCCTACCTCGGTGGGAAACGGATGATGTATTAAAACATAATAATAATAAAATTAAATTGCATAATAACAGTAGTATAAATAAACAACATTATTACAGTAACATAAGAATAATAATAATAAAAAAATGGATTTCCTATTTTGCATGAGGGTGAAAATTTGATGTAATTTAGGCACCTCAAAATAATGTACAGCTGTCACAAAACTTTACATGAGTAACTTTTAGCCAAAATGAAACACAGTGAAGGAGAGGAGGCAAGAAAAGTTCAGAAATCAATTTTCTACCCCTTATCAGTGGGCCACCCCAGTAAGTACTCTGAATATGAAAAGTTTGTATAATTTAACAGTCATCAGTCATCTTACATGTATGAGACAGACAAAATTTTTAACAGGTTTCCACATACATGCAAAGGTTGAAATGTGTGGAAAGCTGTATGGAAATAAGTAATGCAATTTTAATATGCAGAATCTTGGCAAGATTTGCTGTAAAGCTCAAAAATACCATTTAGTGTACAGTAGAAATAGAGTACCTGAGGTGAGTAGTATTGTAGTGCTAGGCTTGCCACTGCTGACAGGAATGATGCCTCCAGCTGCCAAAAAGGTTGCATAACTCACTGCTTCTAAAGATGGTGTGGCTTCTAAAGATGGTGTGTCATCCAGTAAATTTGACGGCATAACACTTTCAACTGATTTAGTCAAGGATATTGATAAAGGAGTTTTGAGAGAATCAGAATCCCCATTTTCAAGCCGGCTTGAATTCACAGCTTCCTGTAAAAATATTGAAATTATCATACATCCTGAAGGGTGCTATGAAGTCAAGTCTCAGACTAGACACTGTACTGTACAACACATGGGTAATCAAGAAAGGTGTATTGCTTTAGCCTTCTTTAAAACTTATAGCTCTATCCAACCTTCATTAACTTCTTATAGCACTAACCTTCCTTAACTTCTTATAGAACTAGCCTCATAGAGTACTTCAAGATACAAGTAATTTTATCAATTTATCTTAAGCACAGTATACAGACTTTCCATTCCCTCATCCCCCCAACACCATTTCTCATTTCCTAATCTTTCAGCACAACATCAAGTGCATGCTGTAACAGAATTGCATCTAATATGCTTGTGATTATGTATTTGTTGTTGCACTACCTAATTTTCAATTTTATTCCAGATGTCTAATCACTCTTGGTGTTGTGGGTATGGGAGTAAATTCTTGGGTAGCTTTGGGTAGTGGTGGTTTTAATGACCTGCCTTGTATGGGCCAGTAGGCCTTCTGCAGTGTTTCTCCATTCTTATGTTTTGATGTTATATTTACTCTTGCCTTTTCGGGACCTCTTTTCTCTTAAGCTGACAATTCTGGCAACGTGTTTTCTCCACTGATACTACATTATTTTTCATGTTTGTCCATGTCCTTGTACAGTTTTTTTTAACCATATTGCTCATTTACAACCAAGACAGTGACAAGTAAGGAAATATTCACCATCATTCACACAATAGCTCTCTTGCCAATGAAAGGATATCATAGCGGATAAAGATCCACTGTGGGTGGAACATCATAAAATACTTGTTTTCTCCTGCTTGAAGTGTCTGAATTACCACTTATCAGATCATGCTAGGGTCACAGTTGAATAACTTCACTATACTTGTTTTTATTATATGTCCTCTCTTCCTCTTATCAAAAAGGGTTAGTTTTTTGTTGCTCTTGTTGCATGGGACCCAAAAACTAATTGAAATAATCAAGTAAGAGTAAAATGTAATTATTGCACGAGGACTTTTCATAGACCTACAGAAAGCATTTGACACAGTTGTCCATGACCTACTGCATCTAAAACTCAAACATTACGAGGTCAGAGGACACTCTCTTGATTCCCCAAAATCTTATCTTAGAAATAGAAAACAATATATATACACAAATGAGGCTAACTCCACTACACAACCTATTCTTGTTGGAGTACCACAAGTCAGTGTCCTTGGCCCACTTAAACCCATTTTATTTGCAGATGACACTACAGTGGACCCCTGTTTTCGACAGGTGCGGAAATTGTACAATTCGGATTTCGAGCATTTATGTCGGTGAAATCCCCCCCCCTCCAGTTTCGTACATCCCCTCGGAGATTGTTGGTACCAGACGCGCCTGCCTGGGCAGCTCATACGTTTGTGACTCACTCTTGGGCACATTATATGTCTTATTTTATGTTAATATAGACATTATCATTAATCCATGTACAGTGGACCCCCAACTTACGATGGCCTCAACCTATGATAAAACCGACTTATGATGCTTGTCAGCGTAAAAATTTGACCCCGACCTACGTTGAAAAACTCGACTTACATCATTCGTCCCGAACACAGCCGTCTGGTAAGTCTGGCCTGAGCGCCTCAGCTGAGCTAGTGTGACACTGTTTACAAGCCAGGGCGGACGGTTGCATGCATATATTCAATAAATTTTGTATTATTCCAGTGTTTTTAGTGCTTGTAACTGTTAAATAAGCCACCATGGGCTTATCGAGAATACCGAGAAACAATTAACCCCAGAAGGTTAGTCACCCAGGATAACCTAAGAAAGTTAGTGTGTCATCGAGGACTGTCTAACTTATTTCCATTGGGGTCCTTAATCTTGTCCCCCAGGACGTGACCCACACCAGTCAACTAATACCCAGGTGAACAGGAAAAAATGCCTGGAACTAGTGCTCATATTGGTGAATTTAAGGCCAGCAAAGGTTGGTTTGAAGATTTAAGAATTGTAGTGGCATACAGTGTGATAAGGCCTGTTCTGGAAGAAAATGCCAAACAGGACCTACATTACTCAGGAGGAAAAGGCACTCCCAGGACACAAACAGTGTCTCATCACTCATCACCACATCTTCAATAAAGGTGTCATTTATTCTTCATTTAGTACACTAGTATATGCACAATATATATTGTGCATGTATCCTTCTTTTTGTGTGTAGGAAAATGTATATTTCATGTGGTAAAATTTTTTTTTTCATACTTTTGGGTGTCTTGAACGGATTATTTCGTCTTAGGATGTGCTCTCTGGAACAGATTAATATCGTAAGTTGGGGGTCCACTGTATGACATTTTCTTCAAAATTATGTAAGAAATACGTTACATAGCATATAAACATGCCTTTGCTACTAGTTCACTCAGTGTCTCCCTCTAGTCTTAACGACATAGTAATACTAATAGTACGTAATAATAATCACTCTTGGGTAAATTAAATGTCTTATTTTATGTTAATATAGACATTTCCATTAATCCATCTATGATATTTTCTTCAAAATTAAGCAAGAAACACATTACGTAGCATATAAACATGCAATGTAATGTTTATATGCAGTGGAGGGTAAACATTACGTTTTCTCTGGTCCAGCATTAGAGAAAACTGTATGAATCTGCAATGGCCCAGTAACTGCCCTTAATACATAAGCTTTTGTTTACAATTCTCGGCATGAATTATTCATTACTTTTCCCTTTGTTTATGATGGCATCTAAAGGTAGTTGTTAGAAATGATTAACTCAGTGAACATGGTATGTCGATGGTAATAGCATGGCTGTAGGCCACAGTGTATGTAGCCGGTAGGTATACACCTGGGATGTAGTCTGCCTGGGACTACAAATAAATACTACTCACCAACAAGTGTCTTCAATAAATATATGTAATGTTCATTTATCATTAAAATTAGTCATTTATATTTATTTCTCATTGTTTTCTGTATGTAAAACTATAGTTATTCTCTATAAAATGTATTTTTTTTTTAATACAGTGGACCCTTGGTTATCAGCCATAATCCGTTCCAGAAGCTTGGCCCAAAACTGAAATGGCTGAAAATCGAAATAATACTTCCCATAAGAATTAACGTAAATACACCTACCATCCAACTTATGACCAAGTTCGGTTCCAAGAAACCGGTCATAAGTCGAAATGGTTGTAAGTCGAACTTTACTACTGAATAAACAAAACATTTTTGTAATGACTATTTTATTGTTTTATTTTGGTATTTCATGTTTTACTTTACTTTTTATGCTGTTAGTACTGTATTTTATACTGTAAGGTTTAGGATAAACACTGTGTACAACACAAATAGTTGTTTATTTCCCAGAAATTTGGCATAAAAAACACGGTTGTAAGTCGAGTGGTCGAAGTCGAGCAGGTCGTAAGTTGGATGGTAGGTGTACAATTAATCCGTTCCAGACACCCAAAAATATTCACAAGAAAAAATATATTTTAAAGATTAACCCCTTGACTGTCGCAACCCCCAATCCTGAGGTGTCTCCTGGTGCAAAATTTAAAAAAAAAAAATTATTTTTTCTTATGAAATGATAGAGAATCTTTTCCCGATTGTAATGACACCAAAAAAACTAAATTTGATGGAAAACTGACGAAATTACGCTCTCGCGAAGTTAGCGACCTCGGCGATATTTACAAATCGGAGATTTCACCCACTTTGAGCCCTATTTTTGGCTAATTCCATTGTTCCAGTTGACCAAACTCATAGCTATTTCTTTGGAACTCCATTTTTTCTATTGATTGAGTACAAGGAACTGCCCATTTACCAATTTCAACTACCCAATAACGTGGTCAGAAATTTGCAATTTGGCCAATTTCACAAAAATTAAAAAATATGACAATTTCAAAATAAGGCCCAGAATGAACAATGCAGACATTCCTGGCTCTAAAATAACATTTTCTTTATTCATCAGTCATGTCTCCAGGCCCCTCTGATATTACTCTTGCTTTCTATTTTGAATTTTTATTCAAACAAAAAATAGAAGATTTACTATTATGTAGACTACTGCAATACTGTAATAATTGTGTAAATAACATCAACCCATTCATGACTGCATATTAGAATGGCTAGTTGGACATTTATTGGACAATGACATCATTTGTTTACTTTTGAACATCGGCAAAAATCAAACATTTCCCCTACTTTGAGCTCTATTTCCAGGTTCTTTTTATAGTAAAATCAATCAACATCACCTCTATTTCTATATGTTATCCATTCTATCAAATGAGACCAAGAAAACGAGAATACAACCATAAATACTATACGAAAATAATCACAAAGTTGGCATTTTAATTAAAAAAAACGGTCGGAGTTTTTTTTTTCTCATTAGGCACTGCGTGCTCCAGGATATTTTTTATATGGTGCACACTGTCCACACAGACCCATTCTCTCACATGTGGGCCTACCAGCTTTCTCCTTCTTGATTTGAAGCCGCTAGAATTTATGAGTATACATACGTCAAACACGGTACCTCGTAAGACGTATATATACAGCCACGACAGTCAAAGAGTTAATTATAGTTTTACATACACAAAACAATGAGAACTAAATAAAATAAATACGTGAACAATTAAATCAGTATTACATACTTTTATTCAAGACTCTTCTTGGCTCATGGAAGAAAGGGAGGAAGAGAGAGGCTTCAGTCACTATACCCCTGCAACTCACTCCACTTTGCACAAATGTCCTTAACCCTTTCAGGGTTTCGGACGTACTAGTACGGCTTACACACGCCTAAATTCTAGCGCCCTCAAATCTAGTGAGAGAAAGCTGGTAGGCCTACATATGAAAGAATGGGTCTGTGTTGTCAGTGTGCACAGTATAAAAATAATCCTGCAGCACACAGTGCGTAATGAGAAAAAAAAAAACTTCGACCGTGTTTTTGGATTAAAACAGCGACTTTGCACTGTATTTTCATATGGTATTTATTGTTGTATTCTAGTTTTCCTGGTCTCATTTTATAGAATGGAAGACATA